GTGTCATTGGATCAAAGAATATATGATGAGGAATAAAGGGTAAGAAGACTGAAATGTAGGATGGCGGTGGTTACAAAGGGCTTTGAACAGAAATCAATGACTGTATGAAACATGAAAGAATAATAGGAAAAACAGTTAAAACTGAAAAAAGTTTAAGGTTCCTGTTAGAAAAAATGATCAATAAAACAGGTCAAGGAGAGATGATCTAAGAATCATTTCCGTATCTGAAAACCATGTCCCCCTCCCTAAATCCTGGACAACATATTTCAAGCAATCTCCCCCTAAAAATCTTTTCAGTTCAATTAGAACTAGAGGGCAAAGTGAAAGTAAGAAGAATTAATCCACTGGCCCCTGAAAGAATCCAAACTCTCTAAAATCCAAACTGGCTGGAACAGCATAACCAAAATCCAGAGTTGCCAGGTCAAGTAATGTTAAATGCCAGGAAGAAAAATTTCAAGTACCAAGGAAGCACAGTCTGAATCACATAAGACTTGGCAGATACTAATATAAATATAAAATATTAACAACTGTACATAATATAAATATAATATTCCAAAAGGAAAAAGACTTCAAAATAACTTACCCTGAAAAACTGAATATAATAGTACAAAGGAGGAAAATGAGCCTTTAATACAATGGAGGACTTTGAAGCTATGTTGATGAAAGGACCGTAGCTGAATAGAAACTTTGAAATACAAACACAGAAGCTATGAGAATTTGAAAAGGTAAATGTGTTTGAGCAATTGGAAAGGTGGGCATCATGAAGAAGTGTTTGCATTTTAATAAGAGGAAAAGAGACAAGCGTTCCCTTGGAATTATAATCCTTCAAGTGTCATAGAGTAGGCTAAATAAGAAGAATGGCTCGCTTGTAGGTGATACTATGTTTTAATTATCTTAATGGCAAAAAAAAAAAGTCAGGGAACAAAGATGAAATAAAGAGATACAATCAGGGTCTGAGAAAGTAATATGCAAACATGGAGGAAAAAGATGGAGGGAGTAAGTGTTGTATGAACCTCACTTGAATTTACTCACATTTACATAGGCATGAAGAGTTTGGATTTGAATTAAACTCAAATGTAAAAAAAGGCAAGAAAGGAAGAGGGGGTTTTTAAAGGAGCGGATAGAATCAGGGAGAGAGTCATTATAAGTAAGATAAACTTCAAATATAGAGGATTGATAATGAAATGAGTATTAATAGAAGAAAAAAAGGATAACAACGTGTGTTGTGACCAGGCATCTGGGTGAATGGAAGAGAAGGGGCCAGTGTAGCAGAAGTAGATTGTTGACCGGTGTCGAACACACTTTATTCTATAGAGTCTATACTCGCTCCCTTCTTTTTAAAGAGGAGTACAGAGGAGTAAGGAGAGGAAAAAAGTATAAAATAACAATAGCTAGAGTTTATGTAGTGCTTTAAGGTTTATAAAGCACTCATGTTATCCTTAACAATTCTGTGAGATAGGTGCTGTTATAATCTCAAGGTTCAGTGACTTGTCAAAGTCAAATATCTACTAAGTATCTGAGGTGGGATTTCAACTCAGGCGCAGTGCTGTTGCTCATTCTACCTCCTTAGCCGTGTTGAGAGGATAGGAAGGAATGGAATACACTGTATTTAAACTTATTTTGCTTAATATAATTTCAGTAAATCTTAACATCTGCCTTACATGACTCTGTAATTTAACTTCAGTATGCTTTCTGAAGGATGCAGATCATCAGATAGTGTATTTTTTCCAGTGAATGAATGGTTTTCTTACCCTACTCTTACCTTTTCCTCCTTACTGTATTTTCATTGCTATGAAACAAATAAAACATGCTATTTCTGAGCATCATCTTTTCCACCTCATCCATTTATGAAACTCACCTTACAATTCCTTTAAAAAAACCCTTTTCTCTCAACAATTTATACTTATTGCTCTTAGCTATGGTCATTGGTGTTGTGTGCTGGGGCCTCAGGTGCTGGCAGCTGGAAGCTATAGTGGTCTAGCAGCTTACCTGGTCCTGAGCTGGGGTCCTAGTGGTGTTGTCTGGCATGTGCTGAGACCAGGTGGGGTTTTTCTGCATTTCCCCAGAGCTACACTGAAGCATGTGGAAGTCTGGCCACTGGAGGATGCCTGCCTGCCCGGGGCTGTGCCACCACATGTGGGAGGTCCTGTTGTTGGCATTTGCCTGCTCTACCACCCTGGGGCTCAGGATCTCCCATAGGTTTGCTGAAGTGCTCGTTGCTGGATTGCTGGGATGCCTCCTTTGTTTGACTATGCTCCCCTTTTTACCTGAGTGAAACAGACCTTTCTTGGCGATCTTCCTAGTGTCCCAGGCTAAAACACTGCTTCTCCCTCTTTTTCTGTTGTCTCCACTGTTCTAGGATTTTTCCTGAGGTACTATTTTCTGGTTTTTTTTTAAGAGGTCAAAAAGTGTGAGTGAGAACAATTTACTGCTTACTCTGCTATCTTGGCTCACAGAAGAGAGTGTGTGTTTGTGTGTGTGTGTGTGTGTGTTTTTAAAAAAAGGTTTCCACAGTTGAACACAGTATTCCATATGGGGTCATTCCAGGGTGGAATTTAGTGGGATTATCTCTTTCCTAGTTCTGTACATTATTCTTTTCTTAATGTAGCCTAAATTCATAAAAAAAAATTTCACAGTTATATTATGCTTTTCCTTCCTGTGAAGTTTGTAGTTCAGGTCTTATTATTACGTATCTCCAGGTCTTTAGATGAACTTCTTTCTAGCTATTACTCCGACTGTCTCTTTGGGAAATTGATTTTTGAACCCTAGGTAAAGAGTTTGTAGTTCTGTGTATTAAATTTTATCTTATTCGATTTGACCCAAGTGTGTAGTCTGTTGGATTTTTTAAAAAAAATTTGGCTCTTATTATCCCTGTTAGCTGTTACTCTTTTAGCTTTTTACCATTTGCAAATTTAATAAACATGTTATATGTAAGAATAGCAATAATGATAACAATAATAATGATAATAGCCAGTATTTATATGGCAGCTTCTGTGTAAACCACTGTGCTTAGTGCTTGATTGTCACTTGATTGATCTGGACTTCCAAATCTACTTTGCCTGGTATACCCTTAAAAAGCAAAATGCCTTGAGAGCTCTCTCTGAAAAGCAGAGTCTGTCTCTTCCCCCTCACCCCCGCCCCCCCCTTAGTTGCGGACAACCTGATTTCTCTTGTGGTAGGAGACTCAACTGAAAGAGACAGGAGTCTGGGATTGGAGCAGAGAAGTATTGCTTAGGGAGCCAGAGACTGGGGGTGGGAGGGGCATAAAGGACTCTTGTTGGTACCTTAGCCTAATGCATGAACCCCCTGGGCAGCCTGAGTCACTTTGTCTGGTCTTAATCCCACTTCTGACACCAATTAAACTGTCAAGCAGAAATTAAAACTACATGGGATATGGTAATAACTTGATTTATTACAAAAGAAAGGCACATGAATGCAGGAACTCCTTATACTAAAGAGTTCACAATCCAAACAGAAGCTTGTATATTTATGAAATTGCAACCAAGGTGAGAGGAGTGGACAGTAAGCTCCTCCTAAATGAGAATGGCATGGCAGGAAGAAAAGAGCAGTAGAGGTTGGGAAAGAATCCCATTCTGAAGGAGAGGAAACAGACAGAGGAAAGAGGGAGGAGGAAACATGAATAAGTAAGATGACAAAAGCAGCATTCTTCCCTCTTGGGAAGTGCTAGACTATGAGAATGGGATGGTCTGCTTATCTGCAAGGGTCCCAGCTGCATAAACAGTTTCTCAGTCTTGTGCAGACTGATTGGCACCTGTCTTTGTAGCTGGTTTGCCTCCCAAGGACGCACAGGGAGTGCAGCTATGGGTGCAAACAACAAATTATATCAGCTGGAGGGGGGGGCTTCATCCTTGATATATTCAAGGCCTCTTGCATACTTTGTGTCCAGTGTTTCTAGAAGATATGGCAACTCAGGACATGTTCAGGGGGCTTCTAATCACCATTTAGTCACAGTGTGCCTTTGTTCTTACTTATATGGGGTGATATTTTCAACTGTGGTTTAAAAAAAATAAAAGAGTTTTGATCGAATTGATTGATTACAAAACCATTTGGAAGATGTATCAGTGTCCTTAGATATTTGCCGTGTAGTAGTCAGATGCATCAAAATTTATGAAATCTTTTGTGCTTCAAGTCTAAACTTAGGTTAATATTAATATTAGCCAATTGATCTTGTTAAGAACAGAAAGATTCCTTATAATATTTTGTTTGAAACCCTTACATATATTGTTGCAGGACCTCAAAACCAGTGCATTTGTGAAGGCCACAACTGGTTCTTAACTTTTTTTCAAGGATCTTTTAATTTGTGCATATAACTTCTCCTGGTTGTGTTCCCATCCATCAGCCTTTCTTAGCTATATACTTTAATCCCATTAGCCTTAATGGGTCCTTTGGAAAGCTTTTCCATTTACAGTCTGCCATTGACTTGCTTCTCACCTTGGGGAAGTTGCTTAAATTTGCTGTTCAACTTTCATATCTTTTTGAAGAGAGATACTGTCACTAGTGCATGCAAATAAATTGAGATAATGTATTGAAAGTGTCAAAAGAAAGGCAATATATAAATCTAAGTTGTTTATTAAGAGCATTTTCTGTTATTTAGCTATTTTTGTTTCATATAGCTATTACATTATTCTTCCTTTACTTGTTTGTAGGAACATTACCTTTATCATTTTTTATCATCTTGGAGGTGTTTAAATACTGTGATCATATGACACAGATTTCTTTAGGCCTGTTTTCATTTCCATTGTTTTTCTCTGCATTTTCTCTCCTTCATGGCCATGAATTATATTTAAGTGCAGCTTTGAAATTCTGGGGGTTGGGGGCAGATTTGAATTGTATGTGAAGAACAGAGGTCCCCTATTTGCGGCATCCTGTTCTCCAAACCCCCATGGGAAACTACAGGCAAAGCTGTGAGCAACGTAAATTAATTCTTCCTTGTGTCTGCCTTTCTCAATTGCCTTTCCTTTTGGCCCTCCTTCTTATAGATAGAAAATCTTCAGGAACAGCTTAGAGATAAGGAGAAGCAGATGAGCAATTTGAAGGAACGCGTCAAATCTCTACAGGCTGACACCACCAATACTGACACTGCATTGACTACTCTTGAAGAAGCCCTTTCGGAGAAGGTGAGTGGTAACCATGTCCCTTTTGCTGTACTATTATTTGCCAGCTGTCTTTAAGGGTGGGTGCTGAATAATATTTTGAAAATAAAGGGGATTAAATAAGGGATAAGAATGGTGCTCAGGGTCAGTTTCATGATGATAACTGGCATTGGAAAAAAGGCAAAAACTTATACATCTTATTTTGCCTTTTTATTTTGTTTACCAAAAAGAAAAATATGCCACCTGGAACATAAGGGGGAAAACGAATAGTAGAAAATTAACTCAAGACAAGTAAGACCATAATTAGAAAGCACCTAGCTGTTCTTGATAAGTTCAGATCACCATACACAGCTGAACTGTATCCCCCATAAAAAGTATTAGATGTGATTATTGAACTATTTCTATGATATTTTGAAAGATTGAAAGATAATTTGGAAGATATTTTGAAAGATTTGAAAGATTGAAAGGAAAATAAGAGAGTTTTGCAGCACTGGACAAAGGCAAACACTTTTTGCAATATAAAAGAAGTGGAAGGGAGGAAGAGAGGCCAGTTTGTAAAACCGTAGTCTCATAAAATTAACTTTGGTTCAAGGTAAGCTCAAATGAACTATTACAAGGATGGTTAGTCCCCTCTTTGTTAGAGCATTTAATTAAAAAAAAAGTAATGAGAGGGTGAAGAATAATTCATGAACATCCAGAAAAAGAAACAATGATTGCAAAGACCTGGGTTTTTGTATGCCAGACTAATCTCATTCCCTTCTTGAACGGGGTTACTAGACTGATTTCATCAACAGATTTTATTGAATCTGTCTTACAGAGAAGATGGATATTTGTGGGATAGTCAGTAATAATGTTAAGTGTATTCATAACTTGTTGAATGAATAGACCAAAGGAATAGTTGTTATTAGGTCATTGTGATCTTGATAATAATTCTTGAAGGAGAGTATCCTTGGCCCTACTTTGTTAAAATTTTTTTAATCGGTAATTTATACAAAGGAAGAATGTCAAACTTATAAGATTTGGAGAGACACAAAGCTAAGGGGGCATAACTAACATATTAGATGAAGTAGGTCTTAAAATATCTTGATAGGCTAGACATCTAATAAGATAGTATTTAATAGAGGTTGTAAAATCTTGGGTAAAAAAAGTCAATTTTACAAATATTAGATTGGGGAAATTTGGCTAGATAACAATCTGTCTGAAAAGATTTCTGGGCTTAGTGGAATTCAAGTTCAGTATTCCAATACAAGTTGGACTAGATAACCTCTGAAGTGTCTTCTAAATCCGAGATTCCATGGTTCTGTGAAATCCCAAGGGGTATAACAGAAGAGAATATTCAGCACTCTCTTGCTGGCATGTGTCTTATAGGAAGAGAGAAAATCCTTTTACACCTTTCCAGTTTTAGCAACTGCCATTAGAAAAGACACATTTCATACCTGAAGTTAATTGCAAGATTTTCCAGGTAGCCAAATACTCTGCCACCAGCTCTGGGGATTTTTTCTGCTTTGGAATTTGATGTATTTTAGCCATGTAGATTTTTAGAATATCATGGCAGTTGTTGTTGTTGAGTTGTTTCTATTGTGTCTGAGATTTTGTGACTCCATTTGGGGTTTTCGTGGCAAAGATAACTAGAGTGGTTTGCTGTTTCCTTCTTCAGCTCATTTTAGAAATGAGGAACTGAGGCAAACAGGGTTAAGTGACTTGCCCAGGGTCACATGGCTAGTAAGTGTCTGAAGCCAGATTTGTTTTTGTTTTGTTTTGTTTTTGGTGAGGTGATTGGGGTTAAGTGACTTGCCCAGGGTCACACAGCTAGTAAGTGTCAAGTGTTTGGTCTGAGGCAGGATTTGAACTCAGGTACTCCTGACATCAGGGCCGGTGCTCTATCCACTGCGCCACCTAGCTGCCCCTGAAGCCAGATTTGAACTCATGAAGATGAGTCTTTCTGATTTCAGGCCCAGTGCTCTATCCACTGCGCCACCTAGCTGCCTCTATCATATAGCGTTGGAGTTCCTGAAATCTTTCTCTGTTGCTCCAGTAATTATTTTCCCTATGGGATATTGCAGTTAAGATTTAGGCTTCTCTTTCTGTAGTTCTGATCATGACATGCCGCTTTCCCCAATCTTCTCCCCTCTTACCCCACCACCTCCCCCAACTTAGTAAACTCCAGTAAGCTCTCTGGTACCTTTTGGATCAAATATAAAGTTCTTTGTTTGGCATTTAAAGCTTTTTTACCGCCTGACTCTTTCTAACTTTTTCCTGTTGTCTATACTGCTTCCCTCTGCATACCCTGCAAGCTAGCTATACTGGCTTTGTATGAAGAAGCTAGGAAGACCTGAATTCCAATCTTACCTCAGACACAAGCTTCATGAATCTGAGTAAATCACTTTCACCTTTAGCTTGAAAGGAGAGTCCAAGCCTGGGGCAGCCGTGGCATTACCAGTCTACGTTGGTTGTGACTCCTCTCCTGTCTCTGACCTTATTTCTAGCCATACACCTTTGCCCGAGTCTGGCACAATACTTCCCTTAAGGCAGACTTAGTGATTGCTGATTCCCTTCCTGGAACCTCCACATCATGAGAAGGGCCAGACTCATTCCTCACTCTACATTACCAGCCTGCTGCACTTCTACCCCTGCTGCCTGGTGTGTTGGGGATGATGGTAGCATACGTGAATTCATTCCTCAGTGATTAGCACGCTGCCATGCTGTCACACACCCCTACCTTCTCTCTCCTCCCTCCCGAATCCCCCGGCTATTACTGTACAAACCTCATTCTTTGTGCCACACTGCCTGCTCCCAAGTTCCCATTCCATTTAACTATTCTCTCCTTCACCCGACTCCCAGCAGTCCATTCAAGATCTACCTACCTCTTCTGCTGTGCTTTCTCAAATGCCTGCTCCAGAGGTAACAAACTTGCTGTCATCTTAAATCTTTTCCTTCCTCACTCTTTCAGTTTCCTTGCATTCAGGGAAACCTCAGTCCTCTTGATGACACAGCTTCCCTGACCCAGAGCTTGTTACACTTTCACTTCTTACCCTTTCTTCTCTCTTCCTGCCTTTCACTGGTCATGGTGGAGTAATCAGAGTGCTCCTTGATCCCCATTGCCAGTTCCTGGACTCACTCTCTACCACCATCACTTAATAACTTGTCCTCCTTTGAGGTTCATTTAGTACGTATTTATCACCTAATCAGGATTCTGGTAGCTGTTGTTTACCAGCCCCTGAGACATTCCCTTTCTTTCTTTAATGAATTCAGTGCCCAGCTCAGTCTTTTTTTCCTTCCCCTAACTCTTGCCCTCATTTTAGGGGACTTCAATGTGTACACGCGCGCACACACACACACACACACACACACACACACACACACACACACATACACTTACACAATACATGCCTATAGACAGACAGACATGGTCATACCCTTGATTTTTCCATCATCCACAAGTACTCTACTTCCTTGTTCACAAGCTCTGAGATTCCTTTATCTGGTCATAATCTTTTGACATTCTCCTTTTTCTCTGCCTTATAACCACTAACCTTCTATTTTATTCACTGTGACTTCTGAATCTCTCAACCCTTCAGTACTTTCCCAGGTCATCATCCCTGTACTCCACATGTTCTCCTCTCTTTCCTATCTTGACATTTTTATGAACTAGTTCAACTCTATCCTTTTCTCTTGACTGCACTGATCTTGCCCTGCCAAGCCAGAGCCTTGGATTACTCCTACTATCTGATGCCTTCACTCCTCTTCACATGCTACTGAATGAAGTTGGAGAAAATCATGAAACAGCACTGACTGGATTCACTACAAATTTTTGTCACTTAAGTGCAGTGGTGAGGCTATCCTTATGTACTTCACTAAGCATTTCACTGTCCTCTTATCCTTCTCAAACCTCCCATGGCTCTGCTTCTCCTTACTCTCTCAGTTCAGAATCTTGCCTCATATTTTACTGGAAAAATGGAAACCATTTGGGGCAACTAGGGGGCGCAGTGGATAGAGCACCAGCCCTGAAGTCAGGAGGTCCTGAGTTCAAATCCGGCCTCAGACCAAACACTTGACACTTACTAGCTGTGTGACCCTGGGCAAGTCACTTAACCCCAATTGCAAAAAAAAAAAAAAAAAAATGGAAACCATTTGCTGAGAGCTTTTTCTTTTTCCCTTCTCCTAATCTTATACACCCAGGTATCTTCTGTCATTATCATCTCCTTCACCCTAGTCTCATATGAAGAGGAGGCCTTTCTCCTTGTTAAGGCAAACCCTTCTGTGTACACAAACAATACCATACCATCCCGTTTTCTCTAGCAGCTTGCTTGTTCTGTCATCTCTACTCTCTTACTGGTTTCCGTCTCTTCTTGTCTATTGGCTACTTACCTATGTCTACAAACATACTCATGTCTTTTCCATCTTCAGAAACCTACCCTTGATCCCTTTCACCTTTAGGTTTATGTTTGTTTGTTTTTTTTTAAAACACAGGCTGTGAAAAGATTTCAGGTAGCCTGCGAAAAATGTAGAGGATGTAAAACAAGCCTGCACAATATGCCACCCGCAGACCACTTTGGCAGGCTGCAAGTAGCCTGCAGGCCATATGTTGTGCAGGCCTGCTTTAAAGCCTCTCAGAATTCCTTTCTTCCAGACTCAGCTCAGTCACCTTTTTATTTTTGTTGTTGTTGTTGTTGTTGTTGTTGGTGGTGGTGGTGGTGGAATTGTGATTTGATCCAATCATTTTATTTTTTTTAATTTTTTTAAATTTTTTTTTTATTTTTATTTTCAACATTTACTTCCACAAGATGTTGAGTTTCAAATTTTCACCCCATCTCACCCCTTGCCCCACCCCAAGATGGCATGCATTCTGAATACCCCTTCCTCTAGTCTGCTTTCCCTGCTATCCCTCCCCCCACCTTCCCCTTCTATTTTCTTGTAGGGCAGGATAGATTTCTGTACCCCATTTCCTGTATTTCTTGTTTTCCAGTTGCATGTGAAAACATTTTTTTTTTAAACATGTGTTTTTTTAAACTTTGGGTTCCAAATTTCCTCCCTTCCTCCCTCCCCACCCACCCTCATTGAAAAGGCAAGCAACTCAATATAGGCTATACTTGTGCAGTTATGCAAAACACTTCCATAGTAGACATGCTGTGAAAAACTAACTCTATTTCCCTTAATCCTATCCTGCCCTCCCCCATTTATTCTATTCTTTCTTTTGTCCCTCCTCAGAAGTATTTGCTTCTGATTACCCCCTTTCCCAATCTGCCTTCCTCTCTATCATCCCCCTACTCTCTTGTCCCCTTCCCCTCCTATTTTCCTGTAGGGTAAGACAGATTTCCATACCCAATCGAGGGTGTATGTTATACCCTCCTTAAGTCAAATCCTATGAGAATAAGATTCACTCATTTCCTCTCACCTTCCCCCGGTTCCCCTCCACTGTAAGAGCCTCTTCTTTTCTGTTTTTTTGTGAGATAATTTACCCCATTCTACCTTTCCCTTTCTCCTTCTTCTGGTATAATCCTCTCTCACCCCTTAATTTTATTCTCCAGATATGACCCCTTCATCTTCAATTCACCCTGTGCCCTCTATCTACCTATCCATCCATCTATCTATCTGTATATATATACATACACATAATTTTTTCCCTCCAACTACCCTAATACTGACAAAGGTCTCATGAGTTACAAATATCATCTTTCCATGCAGGAATGTAAACAGTTCAACCTTAATAAGTCTCTTATGATTTCTTTTTCCTGTTTACCTCTTCATGTTCCACTTGAGTCTTGTATTAGAAAGTCAAATTTTCTATTCAGCTCTGGTCTTTTCATCAAGAATGCTTGAAAGCCCTCTATTTCAGAATGACCATTTTTTCCCTTGAAGAATTATACTCAGTTTTGCTAGGTAGGTGATTCTTGGTTGTAATCCTGTCTCCTTTGCCTTCCAGAATATTATATTCCATGCCCAGCGGTCCCTTAATTTTGAAGCAACTGAATCTTGTGTTATCCTGATTGTGTTTCCACAATACTTGAATTGTTTCTTTCTGGCTGCTTGCAATATTTTCTCCTTGACCTGGGAACTCTGGAATTTGGCTATAATATTCCTAGGAGTTTTCCTTTGGGGATCCCTTTCAGGAGGAGATCGGTGGATTCTTTCAATTTCTATTTTGCCCTATGGTTCTAAAATATCAGGGCAGTTTTCCTTGATAATTTCTTGAGAGATGATGTCTAGGCTCTTTTTTTGATCATGGCTTTCAGATAGTCCAATAATTTTTAAATTCTTTCTCCTGAATCTATTTTCCAGGTCAGTTGTTTTCCCAATGAGATATTTCACATTGTATTCTAATTTTTCATTCTTTTGGATTTGTTTTACGGTGTCTTAATTTCTCATAAGGTCACTAGCTTCCAATTGCTCTATTCTAATTTTTAAGGAAGTATTTTCTTCAGTAAGCTTTTGGACTTCCTTTTCCATTTGTCCAATTTTGCTCTTTAGGGCATTTTTTTCTTCATTGGCTTTTTGGACCTCTTTTGCCATTTGGATTAGGCTATTTTTTAAGGTGTTATTTTCTTCAGTATTTTTTTGGGTCTCCTTTAGCAAGCGGTTAACTTGCTTTTCATGATTTTCTTTCATCAATCTCATTTGTCTTCCCAGTTTTTCCTCTACTTCTCTTACTTGCTTCTCAAAATCCCTTTTGAGCTCTTCCAAGGCCTGGGACTGATTCGTATTTTTCTTGGAATTTTTGGATGTAGGAGCTTTGACTTTGTTTTCTTCTTCTGGTTGTATGTTTTGATCTTCTTTGTCACCAAAGTAAGGTAATATAGTCTGACTCTTTTTGCGCTGCTTGCTCATGATCCCAACCAATTACTTGAGTTTTAAACTCTTTGTTAAAGTAAGAGTCTATTTCCAATGTGGTGAATGTACTGTCCCAAGCTTTGGGGGTTTGTACAGCTGTTTTCAGAGATACTTCTAGGGACCTGAAAAGTGTCAGTTCTTCCAAGGTGCTATGATAAGGGGCAAGGTCTTTTCCTCTCCACCGCCACAACAAGCTCCACCACGCCAGTGCTCCTCCTCGCCCCAAGGCTGCCCCTCAGAACTGTGACCCAGATCCAAGCACAGGTAAAGCAAGAAATTCCTGCCTCAGCCCTGGCAAAGAGATCCTTGCAATCCCCCTCTGATCAGCCACTGGATTCCCCCTCACTGTGTGGGCCAGAAGCTCAGAAGCCAGCCGCTGCCCTTGGGGCGGCTGAGATCTAGATTCTTCTCTCATCACAGTAACAGACTTTTCCCACTGATCTTCTAAGTTGTCTTTGGAGTTCGTGGGTTGAGAAGTCTGCAAACCGCTACAGCTGCCCGCGATTCAGCCCTCTGAGGCCTGCTCCAGGGTTGCTGCGCCCGCCAAACTGCGCTCCTCTCCCAGCCCAGAGTGATATACCTTTACTATCAGCCATCCAGGTTGTCTTGGGCTGGAAATTTGTTTTATTCTGGTTTTTTTTTTGTGGGTTCTGCTGCTTTAGAATTTGTTTAGAGCCATTTTTTGTAAGTATTTGGAGGGGTTTGGGGGAGAGCTCTAGCAAGTCACTGCTTTCCCTCTGCCATCTTTGGCTCAGTCACTTTTTGAAGGAGGTCTTTCCCAGTATTCTCACATGCTAGTATCTCTGAGAAGGGATTACCTTTCATCTCTCCTCTGTACGTATCTTTTGTGTACCTACTTATTTGCTTGTGGTCTTCTCCAATAGAAAATGTCTCCTTGAGTGCGGGGATTGTTTTTACCTTTTCTTGTATTCACAGTGCATAGCACAGTATTTAGTACATAGTAAATGCTTAATAAAGGGATGTTGATCAATTGATTGATAGGTTTATTTCCTGTACTGACCACTTGAAGCGCCTTCGATTAATCCCATGCCTTTCTGGTTACATCATTTTGATAATTCCTTTGCTTGCCCTACTTTTATCATTTTTAATCAATTCTACTGTCTTTGTGTGTTTTTTAATTTTAAAAAAAATGACATATTTTTAATCTAGTACATTTGAGATTGCAAAATTTTCACAATTTATTTATTCAAAGCTGTAGGGGGGAGTTTGTGTGTGTATATATATATATATTTTTTTAAGAATGGCTATTTAAAGAAGTGGCTAGACTCTTCCTGTGGCAGCTGGGAAATCTCTAGAACATCCCTGTGTGTTTTAGACTTGATTTTTTTCAAGGACGTGGTTACTATTCTCTGAATCTTTGAGCTGCCCATCAGGGATTAGGGTTTTGTTGCTTCAGTTTTCCAACTTACCTGTTGTAAGCAAGTCATTTTAGTAGTATGCTTTCTTCTTACCTAATTTTTATGTCGCATGCCTCATACATCATAAATTCTAAGATGTTTTTAGTGTTTTTTAAATAACTGGGCTTGTGGATAACTCAAAAGGAAATGTTTGTTTCTTCTTGTTTGTCAGATACCAGAAGTAGTTAGGTGGTGCGGTGGATGGAGCTCTGGGCCTGAAGTCAGGAAGACTCGAGTTTAGATGTGGCTTCAGATACTCTCTCTGACTCTGGGCAAGTCAATTAACCTTTGTTTGCCTCAGTTTCCTCAACTGCAAAATGAGGATATTAGTAAGTCGGTGCTTGAATAGAGGCTTGTTTCTGTCCTTCCTTTCCTTAATGCCCTTAGCTGATATGACCAATTTTATTTAGATTTTTGGTTGCTTGGAGTATGTATTAATGGAGTTACTGCAAATGGATGTTTTAGTGATCTCCAGTACTAGCAGAAGTTGAAAAAAAAAATAGAACCAGAATATTCATGAGGGCAAAGTCAGATCAATGTTGACTGTTGTCAAAATCATCGTAGGAAGGATAGTTGCTTTGAAACAAAGGCAAAATAAAAAAAAAAACCCCACAATTTTTAAACCTGTTGTAGATGGAAAGGAAAAGTATAATTTCTTTAGCCATAGTCAGAATTGATAGCAATACCAAATGAAACCCTTAAGAGATTATTGTGTTTTTTTCCTTAGGAGAGGACAATTGAACGCTTGAAGGAGCAGCGGGACAGAGATGAACGGGAGAAGCAAGAGGAGATTGACAACTATAAGAAAGACCTGAAGGATTTAAAGGAAAAAGTCAGCCTCTTGCAAGGAGACCTCTCTGAGAAAGAGGTTAATCTCATAAAAATTTATGTGCTTGATTTGACTTAATGACTAGGGGTGTGTGGTGTGTGTGTGTGTGTGTGTGTGTGTGTGTGTTTACTCATGTTGTGAGTGTGTATATATTGTCATAGTTATTTTTGGGGATGGTTATCATATAGAGAATAATTGGGAGGGTGAATCTAATCATAGTTTATGCAGCAAGCTTTCTGAAAATCACTTGAAGGATGTATTCAAAATGGCTATATTTTGGGAAGTTGTTCAGTGACTTAGCAGAATAGTACATATACATTTAAAATTCTTGGCTAACTCCTTGATGAATTTAAATTCTGCTAATTTATACTATTTCTGTATATCATCTCTTGAAATCATTGGGACCCTATTACATTTTTAGGGTTATTAGGATGATGGTAAGGCAACAGAAGGAATGTGAAAATCAAGGAAGGATTTATTGACCTTCAGCTCTATAAATGTTTTTTGTTATTGGCAGAGAAATCTGGAATTGTCATCAACCAACTTAATTTCCTTTTAGCATGCATTTGGAGATGCTCCTTTATGTGAAGTGTGTGAACTGAAGAGCAAAAATGGCCTAAAGCCATGTGAACTGATAAAACGTTGGCTTTAGAGTTACCCTCTGAATGCTTATCCTTTGGAAATTTATAGAAACATAAATTTATAGCATTGCCTCATATAGTCTTTTCCATGTAAAAGTGAAAATACTGTCATATGATTGAGCTCACACCTATTCAGGATTATTAGTAATAGAACTTGACTTACAACGTTAAAACTATAATTCTTTATATGACTAAATAACTTTCAGCTATTCTTAAATACCCTTTGACTTTAGGTTAGATTTAAGTTTAACATGGAGCAAAGCTGACTCTTCTAATGATCATTCTTTGCTTTTTAAATAAGAATACATTTGTATATACCAGTAGAGTGAAAATCAGAACACACAGACATGGCATAAATTTTGAGACCTCTGGCTAGCATTTATATCAAGTATCTGTTATTTTTTAGGCTTCACTCTTGGACCTCAAGGAACATGCTTCTTCTCTGGCTTCCTCAGGATTGAAGAAGGATTCAAGGCTTAAGACACTGGAGATTGCTTTGGAGCAGAAGAAGGAAGAATGTTTGAAAATGGAATCACAATTGAAAAAGGTTAAAAAAAATTGCCCTGTGTTCTTGCCTTATTTAAATTGTAGATGAGTTAGGAACCTCCATCACTATCAAGTGAAAAACCTTGTAGTGATCCCAGAGATTTAAAATGTCACATTCCTGTACCTTATTCCCACAATATCTTTGTGCTATGTGTGTGCCTATGTATGCATGTGTGCTCATGTGTGCATAGTGGGAAGGGAAAGGAAAAAATTAAAAAAGATAGAAAGCGTGTATTATGTATCGTGCTCGTAGCTCCTTTCCTTCCTAATCTGTTACCTCACTGAAATTCAGTCCCTCCAAGGAGGAGTGGAGTATAGTGGGAAGAACACTGGATAGACCAGGAAACGTAGTTTCTTGGCTTTTGTGTTCATGGGCCATTTGGTGGACTTTTCTTGGCTTTAGTGTTCTTACTCTGAAAATGATGGGTGATTCCTTAGGTTATTTCTATTAATTCCATTCTATTAAGAAATCTTTGATTTTCATATAGTGGGTAGATATTTTAGCATAAAATAGAAAAATGGGCGGTGTCTTATATGGTTTCCCTTGGTACATAGCAGCATTTGGTAGACTAGGCATAAAACACAGTTTTCCTGATGATCAAGTTAATATTCTTTCTATTAGAACAATTTCATATAGCCCACATTGCTTCCTTTTCCAAGAGTAAAATACTAGGGTCAGCCATCCTGGGTTTATAGAGTGCTGGACTTGGAATTAGAAAGACCTATGTTCTCTTCCTGCCTCAAACACTTAATAACATTATGATCTGTGGAAATCACAGAATCTCAGTATTTGAGAGTTGGAAGGGACCTCAGTGAGCACAGGACAGGGGACGTTAATGTGGTTATGAAGTGGTAGAGCCAGGAATAGAAAAGAAAGTTTTCCACTTTAGCTCTTTCCCAAATACATAAGTCATCTGGCAATATTATTGGTTTTAAGACTTCATATCATGAAATGCTGGGAAGTCAAATTTCAAACCTAAGAAAATGAGCAAGTTATGTGTCTTAAGCTAACTTTTGAATAGATAGAAACTACTCACTGAGCTTCTTTCCTTAGGGGTTTATTTAGTGGTGTTTGATTCAGATCAATCAATAAAAATTTAGTAAATATCATGATGTGTGAGGCACTGTTCTGAGTGCTGGGAATACAAAAAGAACAAAAGATAGTCCCTGCCCTCAACAAGCTTACAATATAATGGGGGAGACAACATGCAAACAAATATATGCAAAGCAAGTGATATATAGGATAAATAGGAAATAATTAACAGAGGGAAGGCACTGGAATTGTTGGGGAAGGCTTCCTGTAGAAAGTGGGATTTTATTTGGGATTCTAAGGAAGCAAGGAAGGTAAGTAGTAGGAGTGGAGGAGGGAGAGTATTCCAGGCATGAGAGACAGAGAGAATACCCGGAAACTAGAGATGGAATGTCTTGTTCCTGGAACAGCAGAATGCCAAGGTCACTCTATCAAAGACTTTGTGGTGGGGAGAGAGACAGATAGGATGTGAGAGTGAGGAAGGTGATCTGTGAAGCAGAGTGCTGGACTCATTCATAGATTTATCCTTTCCTAGCTAAACATTTGCATTCAACAAATATGGTGGCCCCAAGGCAAGACAACTACCACAAGACAATGTCAACAGATTATAGTGCTTTTCCAAGCACGAACAGTTCATTGCTAACTTGGAAAGAAAGTTGAGCCAACACACAATTGGCAACAGTGGAGCAGACAAGGATTGGACAGTTTTCAGAGATTTGGTGTACAACACTGCATTTACTCATCTGGATCTTGCAAACATCAAGTTTGGCTTTATGAAAATGATTGAGAAATTCAGAATCTGCTAAAAGAAAAATGAGAACTCTACAGGGTTTACCAACAGAATAGTTCATCCATGTCTAAGAAGGCAGCATTTAACTCCATCAAAAGTAAAGCGCAAGCAAATTTTAGAGAGATGCAGGATTCTTGGCTCAGTAAGAAGACAGATGAAATTCAGTTTTATGCTGATAGTAACAATGCAAAGTGCTTTTATGATGCCCTGAAGGTTATTTATGTTCCAAAGACCTATGTTTCATCTCAACTACTCAGGGTTGATGGAGCCAAGTTGGTTAATGATAAGGACATGATCCTGGAGAGATGTGTTAACACTTCCAGAGCCTTCTCAACAGACCGTCATCGACCAATGCTGAAGTCACTGATTGCTCACCTCAAGTTAAAGTCAATCCCTCTCTAGCCAGACTTCCAACTGAAGAAGAGGTTTTGGATGCCATTAGGCTCCTCTTGTGTGGTAAAGTGCCTGGTGCTGATTCTATTCCAGCTGAGATTTACAAAACCGGGGGTCCACTGCTCATACAGGTTATATGGCAAGAGGAAGCTATCCCCCATGAGTTCAAGGATGCCTCCTTCCATTGGTCATCTCTGTCAAGGAAAAGGAAATAGGCTGTTCTGTGACAATCACAGAGTGGTCTCTCTCTTAATCGTTGCTGACAAGATTCTTGCCGGAGTCCTTCTTAATAGGCTTCAGAAAGGACCAAGGAGCAGTCAATGTGGTGTTTGCTGCCTGACAACTCCAGGAGGAATGCCGAGAGCAGGACAGAGTTCTGTATACAACATTCATTAATTTGACCAAAGCCTTTGATATAGTTAGTCATGCAGGCTTGTGGAAAATTATGCCAGTTCCATGACAACATGCTTATACAGGTTCTGGATAATGGACAATCCTCCTGCGCTTTTTCAGTGACTAATGGAGTGAAGCAGGGACGTATGTTTGCTCCCATGCTTTTTAGCATGACATTTTCTGTGATGTCTTCAGTGAAAATGGCATGGCATCAAGGTCAGCTCCTCCTCACTGACAGTAAATTATTTAACTAGAAAAGGCTGCAAGCCAAGACTGAAGTAGAAGGAGAGTTGGTAGAGACACCGAGGTGCTTTCTCAAGCTGAACTGCCAGACATTCAAATTCAGTTGCAAAGAGCACAACTCTGATGGGCTGGCCATGTTGTTTGAATGACAAATGTACATCTGTCTCTGTCTTCCGCTTCTGTCCCTCTCCCTTCCTCTCTACACACATACATGCATTATATATATTATATATATATATATATTTTGAAATATTTTACTTTTATTTTATTTTTTCCTAATTACATGTAAAAACAATTTTTAACATTTGTTTTTAAAAATTTTGAATCCCAAATTCTTTTCCTCTCACCCTTGCCCCCTCCTTGAGAAGGCAAGCGATTTGATGTAGATTATACGTGTGCAGTCATACAAAACATTTTCATATTAGTCATGTTTCAAAAGTAAACACAGACAACCACCACCCCAAAAAACCCCCCAAGAAAAATAAATTAAAAAAATAAAGTAAAAAAAGCATGCTTCAATCTGCATTTATATGCCATCATTTCTTTCTTTGGGGGTGGATAATATTTTCCATCATAAGTCCTTTGGAATTATCTTGGATTGTTGCAATTTTTTTTTTTTTACTATTAAAGATTTCCATTTATTTATCTGTTATTTATTTATTTATTTTAGATCAATCAGAAGCATTTATTCAGTGCCTACAATGTGTCAGTCACTATGCGAGGCCTAACAGTCTAGTGCCTTCTCTCTATTGATTATTCCCCCCACCCTTTTTTTTGCACTTTAAGGTTCATTAATTTATTTATTTTTAGTTTAGTCACTTCCACAAGATTTTGAGTTTCAAATTTTCTCCCTGTCTCATCCCTCCCCCAATCCCAAGACAGCATGCATCCTGCATACCCTTTCCCCTAATCTGCCCTCCCTTCTATCTCTCTTTCCCCTCGCCCCCTTCTCTTATCCCCTTCCTCTTCTGTTTTCCTGTAGGGCAGGATAGATTTCTGTGTCCCATTGCTTGTATATTGGATTGTTGCATTGCTGAGAATAGGCAAGTCATTCACAGTTGATCATCATACAATATTGCTCTTACTATGTACAATGTCCTCCTCCTTCTGCTCACTTTACTTTGCATCAATTCATATAAGTCTTTCCAGGTTTTTCTGAAAGCTTTCTGCTCATCATCTCTTATATTCTCTTGTTTCTTCTTTACTTTTTTATGTTCCCTTTGAGTCTTGTATTTAGAGATCAAATTTTTTATTTAGGTCTGGTCTTTTAATTAGGAAAGTTTGAAAGTCCTTTATTTTGTTAAATGTCTTTTTTTTTTTTAACCTCCTGAAGGATCATATTGTTTTGCTGGGTAGGTGATTCTTGGTTGCTTAGAATCCTACCTCCTTTGCCTTCTGGAATATCATATTCCAAGCCTTCTGATTCTTTAATGTGGAAGCTGCCAAATCCTGTATAATCCTTTAGATCCATGATATTTGAATTTTTCATTCTGGCTGGTTGCCTTGACCTGAGAGCTTTAAATTTTGACTATAATATTCCTGGGAGTTTTCATTTTGAGATTTCTTATGGGAAGTGTTTGGTGAAAATTTTCAATTTCTCGTTCCATTTCCATTTTGTTCTCTGATTCTAGGATATCAGGACAGTTTTCTTGAATAATTTCTTAAGAGGAATTATTTTAAAGTTGTTTGGTGGGGAATTTGGGAAAGCTCAGGTGAGTCCCTACCTTTACTCCCTCATCTTGACTCTGCTTCCGTACAGTATATTTTAAAAATTATTTTGTCCATGTTTTTGCTAACTTTTCTTCCTAAGAGAATATATTATTTTATTTAGTATTTATTATATCAATTAAATGGAAATAATGTCAATATATTTTAATGTCCAAAACTTTAAGATTTCCCGTATATTTATGTTCCCATTTATCTTTGCCAACCCAACAGTATTTGCCATGCAAATTTTAAATTTTAATTTATTAAATATTTTACTATTTTAAAGTAGGAAATAGATCATTTTAAGTTAATGGCATATAAAAATCTTATTTGTTGTGTCTTGAGATTCTACCTGTTCTTCTATCTTGTTATTTTATGTGCTTATTATACAGTAGTAAAACTGCTTGAAATGGTCTCCAGACTATTCCCTGAATAAGACCCTCTGTCTCTTAACCTGGGCATTTTCTCTGTTTCCCATGCCTGGAATCCTTTCCATCTTCATCTCTGTCTCTTGGTTTCCCTGCTTCTTTTCATTCCCAGCTATGGTATTGTCTTCTACAGGAAGCCTTTCCTTCATTTATTTATTTCGATTCAGCTTAATATTTTATTTTTCCCCCAATTATATATAAAAACAATTTTAACATTCCTTTTTCAAATTTTGAGTTCTAAATTCATCTCCCTTCCTCCCCTCCTACGTATTGAGGAGGCAAGCAATTTGACATAACTTATACATGTATAGTCATGCAAAACACATTACTGTGTAAGTCATGCTGTGAAAGAAAACCGACCCCCAAAAAAAACCAAAACCCAAGAAAAATGAAGAAAAAGTGTCTTCGATAGGAAGCCTTTCCTAACCCCTCTTAATTCTAGCCTTTCTCTCTCTTATTTACTTCCTATTTTGTGTATGGCTTAAAAAAAAAAAAAAAAGGTATTTGTTTGCTTGTTGTCATCCCCATTAGTTTATAACCTCTTGGAGGGCAGGGGCTATCTTTTGCCTCTCTTTGTATCCCCAAAGCTTAGCACAATGCCTGGCACGTAGTCTGTACTTAATAAATGCTTATTAACTGATTGACTGAAAATAAAGAACATCTTAGGTAACTGTACATATTAGCCTACTCTGTCTTGACAAAAATGTCAGTGAGAATTGGTACATTTAATCCTTAAGGTGTGACAACTTGTGATTTTACCACTCAGCCCAATTTAGATAAAATATTCTTTGTTATGCAAAGTGCTTTGCATCTGTTTGTCACATTTGTGCATGTCTATGATGGAGAATAGTAAGAATACTAGAAAATTTTAATTTTTGTGTTAAGTGTTGTATTCGATGTTATATTAGGAAAACTGGATTATTAGCAGGGATAATCTTAATGGTTTTGATATTCTGTTGCTCAATAAATGTTTATTGAATTTAAAAATAATATGAAATTACTTCTTTAAATTACATGTATTTCAGAAGTACATTAATTAAAATATTTTAAATTGTTTTATTTTACTTTAATTTGTGAGGATACCTCACTTTCTTCTGCTCCCCAGTTCCTTCATAGAGGGAGTGGCATATTGAATTAGGCTTTAAAGGATGGAAAGGAGTTCAGCAGGTAAGAGGCGAGGATGCAGAAAGTGTCATGGCTTTGTCTGGAGCAGAGGCACGTAGGTGGAAAGCTTCAGTTGTATAATGGGAATGACTAGATCTTAGGGTTTGAATTTAGAGCTCGACATTTTCTCAGAAGCCATCTAATATACCCTTTTCATCTTAGAGAGGAAGAAACTGATTGCCAGGGAAAGTAAGTGACTTGCCCAAGGATTCATAGGCAGTAAACCAAAGAGGCTGGATCTGAAATCAGACTATGCAGTTTTGAGCCTCTCTTTCTCAGAGAAACTCTTTGAAAAAGCTTTCTGTATTCGGTGCTTTTACTTCCCCTTCATTCACTGTCTGCTAAGCCATCTACAGTCTGGCTCATATCTCATCACACAACTGAAATTAATCCTTCCAGGGTTATCAGTGGCCTTATAAATACCAAATCTGATGACCTCTCACTATCTTTCTTCTTGACCTCTCCGCAGCCTTTGCTGCTGTCAGCCACTCTTTCCTGGTCTTCTCCTCTCCTCTTCTCCACTGCCCTCTCCTATTCTCCAGCTGTCTGACCATTCTGTCTCAGTGTTCTTTGCTAGTTTCATCCATTTTATGCAATTGAGTTGGTGGACACATCCCAGGGTTCCATCCTGGGCCCTCTTCTCTTTTCTTTCCCTTAGTAACCTTGTCAGCACCCTTGGATTCTAATGTTCTTAACTAACATCTGCGTTTTTGTAGTTGGGAAAGACCAGCTTCTGATAAATGAAAAGTCATAATAAAAGCAATTATTATTATGGTCAATTTCATCTTCTAAAGATATAATTTCCCTTTTTAATATTAGTAATAATATTAAAGTATTAATATTATTAACATACTAAATCAATATATTATATATTATTATATATGAATATAACATATAATTAAATTAACAATATTAAAGTAGTAATATTAGTAAAAAGCAATTTATAAAGTCTAGATTGTATTATAGAGTGCTATTCCCTTGAGAAAGGAAAAAGAAAAAGAAGAAGGTAGACAGAGCAAGAGTCCGCTCTTTTCTCAGGTGGTCTCAGGTCTTCTTACTTCTCTTGAGTTGAATGTCTCAAGAGGAATTTGATTCGAGAGGCTTCTTTCAATTCCCATAGGCCACGAGTTGCTTTGGACCCATGGTGATCCAGCATGGCTGGTTAATTCAGCAAATGAGAGAGACAATTTTATTTGGACTTCCTCACTCTCTCCTCTTTAGCTTCTCTGTGTCCTCTCTTGCTTCATGCTGATTGCAGGTGATGCCTCTCCAGTATAAGTTACTAATGCTTTTTGGTTGGTTTTCTCCCCTACTCATTCTTTTTCCTGCCAGCTAATTCTTTACTTGTTTCTCCTCTCTTCTACTGAGTAGAAATTCTGGTTCTTACTCTTTCCTGGCCAATAACAGTATGGTTGTAATGGAAAATAAAATTTATATTCAGTTGTTTCCATAGCAACAATCTTACTTTGCATTTAATGCAAATTGCCTTCTTTTATAAAAACTGTAGGCCTTTTCAAGCTGCAACTTGAGACACGATTTTAAAAGACTGTACATTATTTTATAGAGACTGTAAGAGATTTTCAAGGTTAGATACATATAGCTTTGTAGTTGGAGAGAGCCTGGTGGGCCATCTTGTCTAATCTCATTTTATAGATGAGGAAACCGAGTCTGCTTAAGTGGAAAAAGTAGAATGTGAACCTCGATTCTCTAACTCTGTAGTTGTTGGAATCCTTCCATTGCATCAAAATTATTTTGACTACATACAATTTTGGCCTCCTCTACTAACTTTAGGATCTCTTTCCTCTGTGTAAGATTCCACTATAACAGTATTGAGTGTAAAAAGAATTGTATCCAAAGCAAAACTTATTTTCCCCTTAAATCCTCTGCTCTTCCAGATTTTTTTTTTGTTGTTGAAAGCACTAACCATCCTCCTCCTCACCCAGGTTTGCATCTTTAGTGTCACTTTTAGCTCCTTATTCTCACTTCACATGTTCAATAAGCTGCCATGTCATGGCTTTTCTACTTCTACAACATTCATTCATATACACACACACACACGTGTCTATGTGTAATTTTCTCCACTATAGTTCATGCCCTTATTACCTGTATGCTAGACCTAGACTATCATAATGATCTCCTCTTTGATCTCTCTACTTTAAATCTTTCTCTCCCATCCCTCTGCCCAAGTCCATCTTTCACACAGTGATTTTCCTAAAGCACAGATCTAACCACATCACTCCTCTACTCAGTAAACTCCAATAGGTCCTTGTTGTCTCTAGGATCTAATTCTATCCTTCATTGAGCATTTAAAGCCCTTCGTAATCTGGCCCCTTCCTACTCTTTTAATCTCCTTATATCTTCCTTTCCCCTGTGTGCTCTTTGATCCAGCTGTAGTGATGTGCTTTCTGTTCCTCATACATGGCTTTTTGTTCTCCACCTCTGTGCCTTTGCACAGGCTTGCCTTCACTCTTAGAATGTTCTCTTTCCTCACTTCCCCTTCCCAGAGTCCTTGGTGGTTTCCTTCAAGATTCAGCTCAAGCATAACCTTCTGAAGGAGATCTTTCCTTGGACCTTCAGTTGTTCATGCCTTTCCATCCCAGGTTATCTTGTGTATTGTATGTGTCTTGTATAGACTGCATAGGCACATAGGGTCTCTCCTGAGAAGAAAGCTGGATTGTGTAGTGGATGGAGAACTGGGCATGGGGTTCTAAATTGATCTCAGATTCTTACTAGCTCTGTGACCCCAGGCAAGTCATGTGACCTCTGTTTGCCTCAGTTTCTTTAATTGTAAAATGAGGGTAATAACAACACCTACCTGTCAGGGATGTTGTGAAGATCAAATGAAATAATATTTGAAAAGCTCATAGATCAGTGCCTAGCAAATAGTAGATGCTTAATAAATCCCTCCCTCCCTCATCTCTCCTATTCTCCCTCTTTCCTTTCCTCAATATACGTTTCTTGAGGGCAGGACTATCTCATTTTTCCTTTGTATTGACAATGCCTGGTATGTAGCAGGCTTAATAAATACTTATTTTTTGATTGATTGGTGTGTGTGTGTGTGTGTGTGTGTGTGTGTGTGTGTGTGTGTGTGTGTGTGTGTTTCTAATGGTCTTTGTTCTGCTTTACTTTGTAGGCACATGAAGCAACTCTAGAAGCCAGAGGCAGTCCTGAGATGAATGATCGACTTCAACAGTTAGAGAAAGAGATTACACAGCATAGGGATGAATCCAGTAAGGCCCAGGCAGAGGTAGATCGTCTCCTGGAAATCTTAAAGGAAATGGAAAATGAGAAGAATGATAAAGATAAGAAGATAGCCGAGCTGGAGAGGTAAGGATGGATAAATTGGAAGTTGGCTGATGAGGTCAGAATGGTTAAAGTATGGGTTTATAACTTTTTAGGGGGTGGAGGTGGGAGTGTAATTTGGGTAACTGGTTTTAGCTTTAACCACTTTAGTTCTTGACCTTGCTTTATTAATCTCCTTGTCATTCATTGGTTACTCTCATTTCTTGTAGTTTATTAGAAGTTACCACATTGGTGAGCAAAGTAACAGGATGATGACATTATTTAGTAGAGCGAAAGGTGGCTATTAATTCTAGAGTTCGAGCCTTACTCAGTGACATTACTAAGAGTTTCTATAATTAATAGCCCAAATATTGGGAATATTCACTGTTGGAAAGGACCTTATTAATTTAGCTATGTTTCCATTGAGTTCTTAATTCTTGAACTTTTCAAAATGATGGATGTGCAGACAGTTCTATCACTGTAGACATCACATTTGATAATTAAGAAAATTTAAATAACATTTGGATAAGATTTTGTGGGCCTTTAACCATAAATCTAAGGTTTATAAGGTTTGTTTCATAGGCCTATCCATGGAACTCATCCAGAATTTCCTTTGTTATTTTCTTTGGTCTTAGAGTATTTGAACACAGAGAATCTTCCTGCTTCTTGACCCTTTGATGGCCTTCATCACTTTTGCACATAGATATGTATGTGTAAAGCTTTTAATGCCAGTTAATATCAATTATGTAAACTTGTGAACATCTTCCACTGGAACCCCTTCAAATGAAGAAGTTAATAGGTGCCAAAAGTCATTTGCATATCTTGAAATACTGACAAGGATTTAAAACTACTAGTGTGTATAGCTACTGTTGCCCAGTTTTTAGGGGCCATTCATTATCATTACTTTGAAAGCTACTGGAGCCATTCTATAAATGTTATTTCCTTCCCTTTCCATTTCCCTTTACCTTACCTCTTCCTTGTTTTCCCTTCTCACTTCTCTTCCCCCTCCCCCTCTCCCTTTCTTAGAAAATTGTGAGGCTTAGGTTTCCCAAATTTTTTTTAATGCTTTACTCTATAGTCTTAGAGTTTTAGATAAACTAACTCTCTCTCTCCCACCCCACAGTCCCATAGCTTTACATTTTCCATTATTGCAATGACCACTTTAGTAGCTGAGATATGTAACTGAGTTCTCTAATAATTGCCTCCAATTTTGGTGTATTCAACCCATCAGACTGTATTTTCAAAGGTTACCTGAAATGTCCAAATTAGATTTTCCATTTTCTTTTATCTTTTTTTCTCCTCTCATTTGTTTGTGTGTGTTTGTATTGTTATCATATTTAGAATTATTGCCAAGTATTTACTTAGTAAATTTTTATGAAAAAGCATTTTGATTTATTAGTGTTCCCTATCTCAGCATGTGGTAGTGAGGATTATGTTAAGAAAGTCTCACTGTGCTATTTAAAAAAAATAACATAACATTGCTTAAAAGTATGTACCCTTTCTCATCTCTTTTACTTGCAAAAACAGAAAATAAATTCAGTATTTCACCCCAGTGCTCGCTTTGGGATTTAGGTGTAATTTTTAAAAGGAATAAATAGTAGTTTGTTAGCTAGAATGATGGCCAGTGGCAGCTTTTGTTAGCCATTTATAATTCACTCATTTGAGGAAAAACCATAAATTGCCCGCTCTTTGCTCAGAATATGACTTGAAAAGCTACTGAAATTGTGGGCCCTTTTGCTCTTTCAGGCATATACTGCTCCATTTTTGTAGTATATAATCCAGAATTTTGTAACCCTTTAAAAAGTTACATTTCTTTATTCTACAACCATATTATTTCTTTTGTGTCATGATCACAGATGGGAACAGATTATAGAAATTTAGAAGTTCAGGAGACTTTATAGATCAACTCCTTTTACCAATAAGGAAGTGGAGACAAGGGTAAAATGATTTGTCTGTACTTAGTCATTGGTGAAACAAGGATTAACAATCCAGGTCTCCTTCATCTTAGACTTGTACTCTTTCCATTCCACTAAGACCATGTGTTTCTGCACATGTTATCTTTCAGACTTTTTCTGTCTCTGTGGATCTGGTACCTTGATCCTGGCTTAAGACCAATATACTGTATGAATGTGGTATTCTGCGTTACTCAAGGTTTTGTCTGTTCTAGAGAAAACATTTTATCTTCTCACATGTCTCAGATAACCTTTATCTTTGATGGAGACTGTTTAAATCTTTCTTTATACTTATGTAATGCTTTATATGTGGGAGAACTATTAGGAAGACCATATACTTTTCTTTGCCTGTTCCATTATTGAGGTGCATATGTGGCTGTTTATTTTTCTTCAACCCACTTACTTTTTTTATTGCCATTCCACTTTTTACTATGTGTTGGTTTGACTTTCCCCATAATTTATTATTTGAATTTCCTCACGTTTCCATCCACAGGTTCCATTCTTGTGGTGTGTATGTTTTTTCTCTTGGTTGTGCTGTTTCTCAGAAGACTGATCTTCCACAGATTGTGTCCACCCTATCAGGTGTTGGTTTTCATTGTGTGGAGAGTTTGTTTGGGATGTGCTAGGGAAGTCAGTGTTACATAAGCTTTCTTATTGTTCTAAATTGCTACTATTGCTGCTGCCAGTGCTGGTGTTTGCTGGTAATAGGCTTAAATAGGATAAAACAGCAGCTGGTTATGTTAAATGCATCTTTACCTTCTCCTAATTCTGACCTGATTTTGGACAGATTCATATGTGGTACATTCTGCTGTGGTTTAAATATTGCCAATTTCAATTGTCTACATTCTCTCTGTTCTTTACTCTTATTTGGTCATTCTGCTTTTGTTGTTCTCCTTCAGTGCCATGCTGACAATTTCCAGTTGTATTTTCAATGCCAAAAGTTAAAAGGCAGCTGTTTCTGGGAGACTTGCTCACATTACTCTTAGAGTTATAGACTGTTCTAAGGAATAAGAACATTTTCACAGTGCATTAAAAAGAACCATGTTAAGTCTGTAAGCACTAAAAATGCTTAGTGCTAATTTGTGTTTATAACATTTTTTTCATATCAGGGTCTGCAAATATTTGACCCACATTACAACGTGCATACCTTTAGAGAGAGTTATGAACGTTCTCTTATTTTAGATGACTTCACATAATGGACATTTTCTTATGGAATATCAAGAGGAAGATTTACCTACCTCTGCCTTTATCTAGGTTCAGTTTTACATAGAAGTGTAAATGCCCGGGCCTGTTTTTAATGGTTTCACTGTAATTAGAAGAAAGCAAGGTTATTTCTTTAAATAAAAAATAGCATGGTGTTGTAGTATCATAGATTTACAGCCGCAACTTACCTCAGTACAAGCTCCCATTTTGCAGATGAGAAAACTGAAATCCAGAGAGATTAAGTGACTTTTCCAGATAAAATGTTGGCCTTCATGTCAAGAATACCTGGGTTCAAATATTGCTTCTATGACACAGCCACTGATCCTCTACCTTTATTACCTACCTCACAAGATTATTGTAGGGTTACAAGGAAAGTATTCACTCATTTTTCCACATTCAACAAGAATTTATTAAGCACCTAGTATGACCCTGGAATTGTGCCAGATAATAATGACACAGTCCCTCCCCTTGCAAAGTTTGCATTTTATTGCAGGGAAATATAATGTATATAGAGAAGTTAATAGGAAATATATATAAAGTGAAAACCACAAGGAGTTCTAGGTTTGGGGAACAAGATGATCAGGCTTGAGTAGGAGCTGGCACTTGAACTTAAGGAAAATTAGGGATTAAATGATGTAATGGAGGTGAAGGAGTACTTTGCAGGGATAGGAGCCTGCCTGTGCTAAGGTGTGGTCAGAGGCATGTCATGTATGGGAAGTAAGCCAGTTTGATACATATTTATTTACTTGCCTCCTTATTAGATTGTGAACTCTTTGGGGGCAGAGGCATCTTTTGCTTCTTTTTTGTATTCTTAGTGTTGAGTACAGCACCTGGCACATAGTAAGCACTTAAATGTTTATTGACTGATTAGCTATGAATAAATGAAACTATATGCCAAGAATGAAAAACTTTAATTTTTCTCTGGCACAAAAGAAGTGAATTCCTCAGCATGTGCCATTCATATCAAATTTATACCATAAAACACATTTACTTTTTCAAAGAATCTTCAGTAATGTAATTTATTAAATACTGATATGAGGTAGTATTTACTTTTTGAAGATCCATTTGAGGTGATGGATGAAATTATTAGTTCTTTCTTCCTTTTCTACTTTCCTTTGCGACTATTCAGTGGATTAATAAGTAGTCTTATGTTTGGGAATGGCACTTTGTATTCTGCTTCTAACTGCACTGATTGAAGGAAATAAAGATTATGATTTGCTTCATAGTCACCTGAGGAGTTGTGGTTTGTCCATAATTCTCGTGTCTTCCTGTAAAAACCAGACCACATCATTGTTTGATGCAGTAATAGTTGTCTATGAAATATTGCCATATCTTTTCTTAGCATTCCTGTTCTTTGAAGTAATTGCTTCCAGGTCAAGAGGTGGTGAGATACATATGCTTTAAAAGTTACTGTAACTTTGGATGAAATGGGCAGAAACAAAACCCAAGTGGTGCTTGACATTAGTAAATAAGCTCCACTCTTTCCTTTCTTCTTTAAGAAGCTCTACTTATTTTTTTTCTTTTTTATGTTAGTAGATGAGCCTTAAGGGCTTTATGCTCTTCAGGAACTTAGAGACAGGCTACATTGTAATTTGGGTCTTGAGCACAATAGAGGAAGAAGTAGGAATATATAAAAAGCTAGACCAGGGGTGGGGAACCTGTGGCCTCAAGGCCACATGTTGCCTTCTAGGTCCTTGGATGTGGCATTTTGACTGAGTTAAAGTTTTGTAGAACAAATCCTTTTATTAAGGAGATTTGTTCTGTGAAGTGTAGGTTCAGCCAAAAGGCCATTTTTGTTTTTAGATTTCACTTTATGAGGTATACTTTGACAAATGTGAGGTCAGCAGTATAGGAAGAAGTTTAAAAAAATTCTTCTTACATTCGGATAAA